GTTTGTTTACTCCTGTAGTGTAAAAATCCATGCTTCAGGATTCAACAAAGTCTTGGAAAGTATCTTACCTGCAAAAAGTTGTCGAGATGCTTGAAGTGGTAGTCAGTTACTGGCTAGAGGTCAGATGAATATGGAGGGTGAGGAAAAACTTTGTGTTAAGCACTGTTGTAGGTTTTGGGGACAGAGCTGTGATGAAAAATTTCCTGCCTCCACAGAGTTATATTCTAGCATGGAATGTATTTTTTCAGGGACTAAAATATTTGTGTTTGCTGCCCAGATCATTCCCTTCCCCGTGTATATATGTTTTAGGAAATCTCTAAGTTGGTAATCAAAACATTGTGCATTCAAAGATCAGAAAAAAAGAAGTTGATGGTTTTAAGGTCCACTTCATTCAGGTCCCAGGTAAGTCCTAAGAAGTCATCTACGCTCCAGAAAAAGTGTACTTTTCTACTGAATAGCTTAACAATGTTCTTTGCACTTATAATTTCTCTATCCTGAACTTTGCTAGATGGAAAAACATGGCCAAATCCTGTCAGATTTCTCTTTCTGGATTCCAAGAGAACCATTTCAATTCTTATACATTCTTTCAGACATATTGTAATATTATTGATTTTAATTATGTAAGGTTCAGTCATTTTTACCATATATGATTAAATAAACACTCTAATTTCAACTATCTCACTGTCAAAATTGTGTTAAAATTTTGGATACTATTGGATTTTCATCCATAAATTCAATAAATATTCACCAAATATTTAAGTGCCCATAATGAACCTGGCACTCTGCTAAGTGCTGGGGATTTCAAAGTGAATTAGATTTTTTTACCTACCTCAAGCACTACAATACATTATCTTTCACTACATTCTGGTAGCAAAGTAAGATTATTAAATCACAAGTAAAAAACTGACCAATAAATCAAACAAATTGTGGTAAGTGTTATGAAGGAAAAACGCAAATTTCAATATCCAAGAAAGAGATGACAATCACCCGGACCAGGCTAGTGGCAGTAGACAGATCTAGTTGACTCAGATGCTGGACACTGACTCAATAAGACTTGATAACGAACTGGATGAAGTGACGAAAAGGAAGGAACTGAGTTAACTTCTGGGTTTCTAACTTAAGCAACTGGGTAGAGAGCAGTGCCTTGTTGATTGAGATGAGGAAGATTTGCAGTGGGAAATACTCAAGCTGTTATAAACACAGTAACTCTGAGACCTCTGTGAGACAAGCAAATGTAAAGAAATATGCACTTGGACCATGAGGCTAGAATTGAGGAGAGGTCTGCGTTGGAAATAATGGGATTTGAGAATCACTAACATAATGATTATTTGGAGCCAGTATTTTCATTAGACTAGATTTCTAAATCTGTGACACAATATCTCGTAAGTCATTTCTATGTATGACTAAATAATCAAGATTTCATTTCTGCTAGTGTAGTTCTTGAAGGATAAACTATGTAAGATTTCTTTGGGCGAGGGCACGGTGCTCACAATACCTTCTGTCTAATACATCAACCCCAAAATAAATTTGAGTTACAAAATGCTTTTCATTACTATCTCAGTGACTTTCTCTTTACTCATCAAAGCTAACTTGTAAAAGTCCCATGTAATGAATGAAAAGAACTGAATAGGTCTGGATTTCTCTATGGATTAGACTTTCTATCTTAATTATGATTTCCATAATTTAAACATCATCTACAAGGATGTATGGGCTTACTTAAGAAGAGAGAGTACTGAACTAAAGATCATGAGATCTGGGTTCTGTTCAAGTACTGTCATGATTTAATTTTAAGTCATAGCCTCTATAGGTCTGCTATTTTATGAGTCAAGAGAAGAGACTAAGGAATATTTTAAAGCCTATGAAAACATAAATTTAGTATACAATTGAAGCATTATCATCAGTAGCTTATTACTGGGAAGTTGGAGATCTGGGGTGGTGCTGAGCATCAATAATGGCTCAGAGTGAAGATTCCAGTAGGTTGTTCTGGATTTCTCACTACTTTTTTGTAGACTTCATAATTTAGCTTCTGTATCTATAAAATAGGAGAATCACATGATTTCCCTCACCATTATGATAAAAAAATTAATAAATGTCTATGTTTCACAATTGCACTCATCTCACATGCTAATAATGCTCAAAATTCTCCAAGCCAGGCTTCAGCAATACGTGAACCGTGAACTTCCAGATGTTCAAGCTGGTTTTAGAAAAGGCAGAGGAACCAGAGATCAAATTGCCAACATCCGCTGGATCATCGAAAAAGCAAGAGAGTTCCAGAAAAACATCTATTTCTGCTTTATTGACTATGCCAAAGCCTTTGACTGTGTGGATCACAATAAACTGTGGAAAATTCTGAAAGAGATGGGAATACCAGACCACCTGACCTGCCTCTTGAGAAACCTGTATGCAGGTCAGGAAGCAACAGTTAGAACTGGACATGGAACAACAGACTGGTTCCAAATAGGAAAAGGAGTATGTCAAGGCTGTATATTGTCACCCTGCTTATTTAACTTATATGCAGAGTACATCATGAGAAACGCTGGGCTGGAAGAAGCACAAGCTGGAATCAAGATTGCCGGGAGAAATATCAATAACCTCAGATATGCAGATGACACCACCCTTATGGCAGAAAGTGAAGAGGAACTAAAAAGCCTCTTGATGAAAGTGAAAGAGGAGAGTGAAAAAGTTGGCTTAAAGCTCAACATTCAGAAAACTAAGATCATGGCATCTGGTCCCATCACTTCATGGGAAATAGATGGGGAAACAGTGGAAACAGTGTCAGACTTTATTTTTTTGGGCTCCAAAATCACTGCAGATGGTGATTGCAGCCATGAAATTAAAAGATGCTTACTCCTTGGAAGGAAAGTTATGACCAACCTAGACAGCATATTAAAAAGCAGAGACATTACTTTGCCAACAAAGGTCCATCTAGTCAAAGCTATGGTTTTTCCAGTAGTCATGTATGGATGTGAGAGTTGGACTATAAAGCAAGCTGAGCGCCGAAGAATTGATGCTTGTGAACTGTGGTGTTGGAGAAGACTCTTGAGAGTCCCTTGGACTGCAAGGAGATCCACCAGTCCATCCTAAAGGAGATCAGTCCTGAGTGTTCATTGGAAAGATTGATGCTGAAGCTGAAACTCCAATACTTTGGCCACCTGATGCAAAGAGCTGACTCATTTGAAAAGACCCTGATGCGGGGATAGATTGAGGGCAGGAGGAAAAATGGATGACAGAGGATGAGATGGCTGGATGGCATCACCAACTCAATGGACATGGGTTTGGGTAGACTCCAGGAGTTGGTGATGGACAGGGAGGCCTGGCGTGCTACGGTTCATGGGGTCGCAAAGAGTCAGACACGATTGAGTGACTGAACTGAACTGATGTTTTACAGATTCCTGGATGAAAGAGGTTAGCAAAATACAAATTACTGTTGTGTTGATGTTCTTATTAGCTTAATCTAAGCAGAACCTATCTCTTGGAAAACCTGGAAACACTTAGCTACCACTGCTTTCTGACTTTTGCCCGCTTCCCAGGGATTCTTGGCTTTCCCTAGAAAACAAACTATTACCTTGAGGGTAGCCTGAAATCTCTGACAAAAGTCTCTTGCAAGCAGTCAGTTCAGAGAGGTCATATCTGGTACCAGGCTGTAACAGAAAAATCTTTTCACAAAAATGGTCAACACTATTTGCTAAGCAGACCAGCATATTCCAACCAGGGAATGGCAGTACAGTAAGACCTCATTAAAACTTTGTGTGCCTTTTTAATGTGAACCAACTTCATTAGGCCAAACTAAGTAACTTAAGAGTGATTGCCTATGAGCGCCTCTCTACTTCTACCTAATTTCTCTTGTTTTTTCCCACTTGTCTTTTGTCTCAGATCTTCATTCTCCTACTTGAATGGACTTTTCAGAAACTTCGTTCTTCTCTATTGTTTCCTTCTCTCCTCTTCAAGGTCTCCTTGCTCAAAATGATTTGGGTAATGGGCACTGTCATGCCCCAAATATTTTTTACCTCTCAGAGACCAAGAGAATATAAATGGTATTCAACAATGGCTTTCAAGCAGAGGTGATTTGGTAATGTCTGGAGACATGGCTGGCTTTCACAATAATGGGAAGGGTGCCACTGGCATCGGTAGACAGGGGTCAGGGATACTGCTAAACACCCTACACTACACAAAAAACAGCCCACAACAACAAACAATGGCCTAAAACACTGACAGTGTTGCTGAGAAATCCTGATATGCAGGTTATCAGTAGCTGAAAATTACTGAGGAGGCAGTGCAGCCTCCTTAGGATACAGATTCTCAAGGTGGGAAAGCAACAGCCACTGACATCAGATTGCCTAGACTTGGATCATTCTCACTGAGTTATAGGCTCCTTGGAGGCAGTAGCCTTCTTTTACCTACCATGCTTAAATTACGGACTAGTATGCAATGGAGAGCGCTAACCAATTGTGGATTGTCTCACACAGTTGTTTCGAGGCCTCAAGAAGGGAACATATACTAAGTGATATGAAGCACAGTGAGAGGGAGAAAGTGAAAGTGAGTGAAGTGGCTCAGTCGTGTCCGACTCTTTGCGACCCCGTGGAGCCTACGAGGCTCCTCCATCCGTGGGATTCCCCAGGCAAGAATACTGGAGTGGGTTGCCATTTAAGCAGCTCCTGAATAGGGGGAGCTAGGCTAGTGTTATCAACTAGAATATGCTGTCCTCTGAATACAAACAATTTCAGAAAATACCAACCTCTGACAAAGCCACTCTGTGACCATGATGGATCAAGACAAAAACAAAACCACCTCCATAAACTTACTGATTACTAACAAACGAACAAGAACATTGCCCCAACCACACGCACCCACACACACCCACACCTCACACACACACAAAGACCAAATATCCCCCTATCCTGGCTGAGGGACTGCAGCTTCTTAACCAATCACAGCTTTAGCCACTCTTGGTTCTTCTCCCTTTTTCAGGTAAGAATTACTAAAATACCCATCAGAATTACCTTCATCTCCTTAACAGCATCCAATCCAGAGAGAAGGCCTGCTTCCTGGAACCCTCCCCCAAATTACCTAATACAAGGTCCAACCCTGTAAATTCTCTCCAGCACCGTCTTCCTGGGATGCCCCCTGTGCCTCAGGCCTCCACTCCTTATGAGGAGACAATAAGCCCAGCTTTGTTCAACAATACGAGTGTTCTAGGTGGTCTTCGGCTGGGGGGTGGGGGGGTGGGGCGCGGACAATAGTGAGAGCCCCCAAAGGCTAACTGCTTCTATTATGCCTCAAGGGGAATTGCACCCACGCATTCAAAGTCTTTACAAACAAGGATTTTGAGGTTTCCGGACAGAATGCCTCTTGCCAGGCCGTTTCTCCTCATGAGACGTCTCCTTTCCCGTCTACAGGGAGGCTTTTGGTTTCCGACCTCCCAAGTTGAAATCCAGCCTGTTGGGTTAGATTTCTGAAGTAAAACCCCTCAGTGAGGTGAGCGCTTCCACTTGCAACTTCGAGTTACTCAAACACTAGCATACCCCACGGGGGACACGGTGGAGGTGGTAGCAGAGAAATTAAAACCCCAAAGAGTGCATACTACTGAATGCCTCACCCACCTCCCTAACTTAGGAGAAACCGCCCCGAATTCACTCCACAAGAGACGCTGAACAGCCTGGGTTCCCTGCTCCTCCAAAAGCTGAGGTAAGAACAGCCACCGGCAAAATCGAACCTTCCGGGCCGGCTTCCTCAGCGACGCGCACGCGCAGGGGTCGCTGGGCAGTCGCCGCGCTAGCGCCTGCCTCTTCCGGGCGGACTACAAGTACCAGCTTGCCGGCGCTCGGCGTCGCCTGGTAACTCGCGCCAGTTGGAGCGCGCTAGGTCGGCTTCTCCGCGCGCCTGCGCATTGGCGGTCTCTGCGCAGGCGCATTTATAACGCTTGGCAGGAGAGGGCGGGGTGTCGTTCCCTTTCGCTGATGCAAGAGCCTAGTGCGGTGGTGGGAGAAGTGTCGGCCGGAGCAGCGCTGAAGCCGGGGCCTGGGGCTGACCCGTCAGACTTTCCTTCCGTGCCGAGCCCACTCGAGCCGCAGCCATGTCCGGGGACGAGGTGAGGGCCTGAGACTGGCACTATGGCTAGGGACCAAGGCAGTGAGCCAGACCCACCCCAGTATGGGAGACTGGGCCTGCGGCCTAGCGGCCGGTCGCCGCCATGTGGGGCAGCCGGGCCTAGGCGACCCGGAGCGGTAGAGCCGGCGAGGGCTCTGGAGCCCTGGCTTGGCGGTTCCCGGTTCTCCTCAGGACGGGGGCGCTGAGGCCGTCTTCCTCCTGTGGCCGGCGTTTCCGGAGTGGAGAGCACGTAGAGTTGCCCTCCAAAAGAGGGCTTGAATACCCGGTTCTTGCCCCAACTGAACGAGACTGGGGCTGGCGACTCCTGCATTCCTTTCGATTTGATTCTGCGGCTCCAACTCTTCCCTCGCTGGGCGCTGGTGGTACTGAGAGGAGCATCTCTCGGCTCTAGTAGAGCGACCGCGTTTCAAACTTTACAGGCTGGCTTGTCCTGCCCAGCATCCACTTTTGTTCTTATCTAGAGCATTTTTTTTTTTTTTTAAGACGTAAGAGAGGGGGAGAAGTCAAGAGGAAAACATCTTTCAGCCTGAAAAAGTGATTAACCTGGGAAAGTTTTAGGGCCGTTGTCCCTGAGCCTGCCTCAGCATAGCTCTCAGCGACGTCAGCGGGAAGTCCGGGCTGCAAAGCTGCCTGGGTCTTTTTCCACTGTCTTGCTTGTACCTCAGCAAATTTCCTCGAGAACCTTTTCGGTCAGGTTTATCTCAGTTTATTTAAATCCAAACGGCCTAAAATGACATTTGACTTTTAAGTACGAGCCATAGGTATTGATTAACACTTTGAGAACTACCAATGGAAAACCCCCTTAAGTTTTTAATTAATTTCTGTAAACATTCGAGTGGTTGGCCAGTAGGGCCTTGGAGAGCAGAGAAAAATTCGAAGCTTTTTGAGCTTTGTCATTTGAGGTGCGTGCTGAAAATGCTTTGAATTTCTTCAAGTAGTGGAAAGGATTCAGAGCAAGGAAGTAGAATATTATCCAACTTGGTTAGAGTTAATTCCTTAAAATATAGGGAATAGCTACTTCATGGAGGAATTTGAAGACAAATTAAGGGATTTGGATTTTATTCTGGAGGCGATTCCAAGCTCTCATTTGATTCTCATGACGCCCCTTTAAGATGTATATTATTGTTATGCCCATTTCAGAAATGAAAATACTGAGGCTTCTAGAGAGTTGTGTGATGCCCGTGATCAAATAGTAAGTGACCGAGTCAGTAGTGTTTAGAATTCCAAATCTCCGTTTGGTGCCTCGGAGACTCTCAGGGAAGAAACTGAATCTAAGGGAAGTATGTGATCCTGCTTTGGAGGTCATGGTTAGACGTTGCTGTCCACCTGCTTTTAAAAGTTCTGAGAGTGGAGTTGTGTCATGCTTGTTTTGTTTCTACTCATTTTCTAAGCTTTTCATTACCTTTAACAAGTAAGCACCTATATAGCACAGAGTTCTCTGGGGTGCTATTCTGTGTTTTATATGGTAAAGTGCTCACAAGTATTGTAAGAGATCTACTTCTAGTTGGTACAGGAGGTAGAAATAGAGCATTAACAGCAGTTTGGAGAGCTGGAGGGTTCAGTTTTAGCGGTGGGATTAGATGGGGAAAGAAGTGGAATATTACTGAAGGGTGGAAAGGATTTTGTCAAGCAGAGATGGCAGAACCAGCATTCCAGCAGAGGACTTTGAAAGCCAGTAAAGTATTAAAAAGCTTTGCATTTCTCAGATCTACCAGTCCATTTTGTAAACTGGAAATTACTGCCCAGGGAAGTTAAGTTGCCCAACATCACAGAGCAAGTTAGTGGAAGTAGAATCCCACCTTTGCCTTCCACTCTGAAGGTATGTGCAGGTTCTGGTTCCTCTAATCCTGTTGGGTAGAGAAGTTTTCTTAGGCCAATCCTTAACTTCTGGCTACTTTACAGGCTTGTAAGGATCAAGTGAAAAATCGGTAGGTGGAAATGATAAACTGTTAGGGACATCCTACAGCAGTAGTAGTCCTGCCTGGTAGCCAGGATAGAGGATTAAAGAATCTACTAATAAAAAGTAATTTATTTCTTTTTTCACATTTCCTGTTTTTTTTAAATTTTTTAATGTATAGTTGCCATAAACTGCACACTTCCTTTCAAACCTGGCAAGTAAGCCCAAAACTCACATAGCATAATCTCCCTTGAACTGACATCTGAAAAAGCAGTATTCTAGAAATATGAGTGCTGCCATGTGAGGAAAAGTTCCCTAATCTACAGGCATCAAAGTGCTGTCAGTAGCTAAGATTATTGCTTATTACTGGGCCCCATTCACAAAGTATCTGAGTACTGGGTTTTCACACAACATGGTAAGGTGTTTTACAAAAGAAACTGAATGAAAAATGGAATGTGTATTGTATGAAGTATACAAACACAGAAGAATACAATACAAATAAAAATCTCCCAGAATCCTATCACCCAGAGATGACCACACAGCGTTTGTTCTGCTCAACTTGCCTATCTGGGTTCTTTTGCAGCTCCTTCCTGCCTTCTTGGTGTGCTTCCTTCTAGGCCTTAAAGTTATCTTGAGTAAGGTATGATAGATGTGAGTAGGCTTCCAATTTGCTGAAGCACTTTAGTCTGTTGTCAGGGTAATTTTTGCTGGTATCCCTTTTCCTCACCTTCTTCAACCCAACCCAGTGTGGGAAGTTAAAAAGAGAAAACATTTGAAGACTTTGTTGTAGACTTAAAAAGATAGCTCAAAAGAGTCTGATTTTCCGTAAACACACTGTGAGCAACTATTTGCTTCTCAGATCCCAACTAGTCTCATGAAACATCTGGATCGTGATAATTTGTTAAATCAGGTATAAAAGTCTTTTTTAAAAAAAAACACATTTAAGTCAAGACTGACCTTGTGGTTTGAGGGAGGTCTACTTTGGGTACTGTTTGGGAATCCCTGGTTTCCATATTTTTAAACTCTAGTTTTGCTGAGTGGTGTGAATAAAATGAAGGGATGAGTGTATGTCTTCAGCATCCAGAGATAGTAATTGGGAGAGATACGTCAGTGTATAATTCTTGCATATTTATAACTCTTTTCCAGGCTACAAGCATAATGTTTCTCTGTGGACCTATATGAATGTTTTTCAAAGGATAACAGGGCAGTTCTGAGGATGTCCCTCTCATCTTTGGTCTGTCTTGCTGAATAATATAGTTAAAAGATAATTAATATTCTAGGCAAACTTGATACTGAAAAAAAAAATGCAATAAATGGCATGTAAGCCCTGCCAGACAACCAGATTTATAATGCTTGGAGTGTTATCTGTCCTTTTGCTAAATCTCCATATTTCAGGAATGAGGATGGATTATAGCTTCTTCCCTGGAACGATGACAAGACCCAGTAGGTCAGCAGTGGGGAACTCCTTCCTCCTGACTCTTCTGTTTACTACTCTTTAAGTTTGCCAAACTGTGTTCCTCAGACTGACTGCTTTCCAGAATTAATCATGTATATGGTTAGAGCATTCTTAAGGTAGGAGGGGATAACTTTGAAATGAGGCTGTATCAATTTCCAGAACTCTTGCAGATCCTTCTTTATTGAGTGAGGGTAATACTCTACCACTCTCCCTTATTACAGACCATAGTTTGGTTTCAGTGTAGCTCAGTTTCCGTAATGTACTTGGGACATAAAGGAATTTAAGTTAATTACAATCAATTTGGGAATATTTTTGAGTTTCATGATATGTCTTAAAGATTAGATAACCCTGAGTTGATGGATTTTGGTGATAGGAATCAAGACATACCATGCTTTTGTCACCTCTAAAGCATTATATATAAATTGTATAATAATTGCTACCGTTTACTGAGTATTTTTGTACCAGGTACTGTGCCAAGTGTTTTATGTATATTTACCTTTTTGTGCTGTGCTTGGTCTCTCAGTCATGTCTGACTCTTTGCCACCCCATGGACTGCAGCCTGAAGTGGCCTCTGTCCAAGGGATTCTCCAGGCAAAAATACTGGAGTGTGTTGCCATGCCCTCTTCCAGGGGATCTTCCCATCCCAGGGATTTAACTCAGGT